TCCCTCTCCTCCCTCTCTTCCCCTGTGCGCCTGCCTGTGCGTCTGCCCTGGCAGGGAGCTGACGACAGTGCACATTCAACGCCGTCTTGAGCTGGAAGTCTCACCAGGAGAGATGGTGGCTGTCCCACTGATTTTCTCAGCAGCCACAGTGAACACCCCAGGCACAATGCTGACCACCGCCAACCGCGAGGCCCTGGCCGCCTCTGGGTCTGCTCCTAATAGGCCATCTCCTTTCCTGCGAATTTTTGCTTTTCCTGACATCTGCTTGCTGGACCGTGTGGCGGCCCCCGATGTGGGATCTGGCTCACCAGGACGATGATTCTGTCGGGGCCAGGGGGTGGCCTGCTTCCTCCACACCCACCTGATACAGAGGGCAGCCCTTCTCGCTTCCTCTCCCTGCCCCACTCCTCGCACCCTCCAGCAGGTTCTGGCCGACCTACTTCAAAACACCCCGCGTCCATTCTTCCCGTCTCAAGCCACTGCCATCACGGCCTCCCAACTGGTCTCCCTGTGTCCACTCTTCTCTCCCTCCCACAGGGTGTTCTCAGCACGGTGGTCAGAGTGACCTTTTTAAAGTGGGGTCGCGCCACTCCCGCTGAGCCTCAGAGAATGAACACGTCATGATTTCCGTGTTCAGCTGTGGCGCCCCAGCGTGTGGGAAACCACGTTGCTGAAGCTATTAAGGAACACAGCGTGTGGACACGGCCTCCGGTTCCTCCACGGGGGAACTTCATGATAACGACCACAGCGGACAACGGGGTGCTCAGGTGTGCCAAGGGTGCACCTTACCCCTAGCCCTCCGACGGCCCCGTGGGAACCCCTGCTTCATGCAGGCAGACACGGAGGCTATGGGGAGAGGCGGCAGCTGGAGTCCCGCACACGCGTGTGAGCGTCCAGGTCCTGAAGGGCTGCAGGACTGAAGGGGCTGCGGTGCCACCAGCCCCTGTGGACGCGTGTGTGCACACACTGTGTCAGGAATGAAGAGGAAAAGGCGCAGCTGAGTTGCATTGGCGAGGCTCTCAGTGCTTCTCGGAACCCTGGGAGGTGTTTCTTGATCTCGAGTGTTTTGGAACAATCAGGCACTGTGAGAGTCTCTCCACTCGTGTCGGGTTTCCGTTTCCTCTTACCCAAGCTGGCTCCACCCCTTTCTCCCTGACAGGTGAGAGGAAAGCACCATTCCAAGCACGTCCCTTTGAGCACGGCCCTCCTGCTCCGACCTTCCGGAGCTCCCATGGCTGTCTGACGGGCACCGTATGGAGGGGCCCTGCCACCACGAGCCCAACCCTGCAGGATGGGACAGTTGCTACGCTGTGTCCAGGGACGTTACTTCCTGAACTGCCTTCCCCGGGCTACGCTGGGAGGGTAACTAATGGCGACCGTGGTGGCAGAAGCCTACGCATACCAAGTGCCCGGACACCTGGAGGTGTACCTGCTTGGGTCCCATGGCAGCTCTGCAGGGTGCAGCTACTGTCCCAGGTGACAGGAGAGCAGACCGAGGACCAGAGAGAAGGCACCAGCCTGCAGTCACAGCAGCTGGGCTGGCACTCAAGGCTGGGTGGGCTTCTAGCACTCCTCCCCACGGGGACACCCTGCCCCAAATGTGGCACCCTAGCGTACCAAAAAGCAGCAGGCGCAGACACTGACTTCCTGAAGCAGCTCCTGAGGCCCTCGTGTGAGGGGTGCCCTCCCTGTACCCAGAGGAAAGAGCGCCCTTATCTCCAAGGATGAAAGGACGCAGAGGAACTGGAGCCTGCAGGCCTTGCTGGCCCCTCCCAGCTCACACACTTAGCTCAGACCCCTTGTCCTGGGTTTCCCACTGTCCTGCAAACCCGGTCTAGGACTCGCAGGCTTAGGGCTTCCCCAGACCTCATGTCCTCAGGAGGGCTCCGTTAACCACACCTGCGAGCTTGCCTTGTGCTAATCTGTCTCGTGTTAGAGAGCCAGTCAAGAACTCCGGAGCGTAGGAGGGGGAGGTACCTTCCTGCCCTACACCATCCATGTCCTTCCCTGCCAGCACCCCACCCCTGCACGGGGCTGGTTCCAGACCCCCATCTTCCTGGGCCATCCCCCAGACCTCAGTGCCAGAGGCCAGGCAGGCTCAGCAGAGGGGGTGCAGGGCAGTGCAGGCCGATGTCTCCGGGGCCCCGCTGGACGCCCGCTGTGCAGTCAGCACATGAGGGGCACAGGCCAGGTGGTCTCCATGGTGACTTCCCATCACCCCACATGGCAGCGCGATGAGAAATCCACTGCAACAGCAGTGACTATTACTCCCACTTTATACGGGAAGACGAAGGCACAGAGAGGCTAAGCAACTAGGCCTGCACGACCCTGCCAGCCAGTAGCACAGCCTGGATTGACCCCGGCAGTCCAGCCCCGGAGTCGACCAGGGCCCTCGACCTTTGCCTGCTGTCACTCGCTCAGCACTGAACGTTCTCCCTTCCCACCTCGGAATGGCCACCCTGGGGCTCCAGGGCAAACAACGCTGCGTACGGACCTGGCTGGCACCTGCCCTCCGGTAGCGGGGGAGGGGCTGCGGCTCATGCCAGGAACCCTAGACACACACACGAATGTGCCGCTTGCCACCTGGCCAGGGCAATCTCAGAAGGCCCCTCGGACTCGGGGGTGCAGCCATGGCCCAGGCATCCGGGTGGCAAGGCTGGTGCAGGGGGATTTTCCCAACTTCCAACTCCAGCCAGTAGCCACCGTCTAACCATAACCTGCCTCCAGAACATTCCATCTCACAAGTCAGACTTCTAACGGAATAGACCAGAGCCCTCTGCTTTCCACCAGGAAACGCCTCCCGGGACCTTGTGTCTAAAATTCAAATTTAACTGGGCCTCCTGTTTTTTTTTTTT